TTTTTGGTTCTCAGCTTCTTCATATGCAAAAGAAGGAAATGATCAAATATTGTTTATAAAATTATTATAAGTAGTAAATAGAATAAGGCAAATAAACCTTTTTAATGATGCTAATATATATCGTAGTTAGTGTTAGGTTATAGGCTTGTAAGCATGCTGACTCAGCCCAAGGAGGATGCTTGTAATATTTATTATAAAATTACTGTGTGCCAAGTACTAATTAAGTGCAAGGACAAATAAGGCCCACCCTCAAGGTCCATAGAGTATAACCGAAGAGACAGACAATTAGTGCAATATGAGAGGACACAGAGGGTGCCAGGGAAGCCCCGAAACAGGGCACCTACTGCTGAGGTTGAGAGTCCTTCCTGGGGGATGGATAGCAAGGAGATGAATCTAGAGGCAGGGAGGACAGGTAAGTGCTATTTTCATACTCCAGGCACGACGACGTGATGCTGGTGGAAAGGAAAGGTGGGGGCCGCATATATTGGCTTTAACTGGAGCAATATCAGATAAACAATGGTAAGAAGAATAACTTTAGCCCACCTCTATTTCAACATAGACTGGAAAATAACAACTATGAAAATTCTTTGAGAACCTTCAGCCCTTATAACTTACTCTTGGTTTATGTAACATGTTAGTGGTAGTTATTGAGCACTTACCACATACCAGGCAATGTGCTACACATGTTAGCTCACCAAGATCACACAAGACCTCTACCATTGGTAAGAATCTCCCCACTTTTATAGATAAAACAACTGCACTTGTATCACCCAACTGAATGCCTTAGCTCCTGCCATGGTCTAGATACGGTTTAGGATGTCTCCAAAAGTATGTGTGTTAGAAGCATGGTCCTCCGTATGGTGATATGAGAGGTTGTGAATTCTTTAAGTGGGGGTTAATGGGAAGTCTTGAGGGACACTACTGCCAAAGGAAAGAATGTAGTTCTCATGAGACCTGGTTAGTTGGAGAGGAGTTATAAAAGAGCATGGGTGGCCCCTCCCCATCCTGTGCCTCCTGTCCTGTCCTGCTCTGCAATCCCTCCTGTGCAGTCCCCACCAAGATAAAGTCTACCATGGTGCAATATGCACAGGAGAACCTCACCAGGGCCAGTGCATGTAGTCTGGACTTCCAGCCTCCAAATATGTGAGCTGAATAAACCTCTTTTCTTTATAAGTTACTCAGCCTCCAGTGTTTTCATACAGCAATGGAAAATGTACTAAAGCAAATCCTTGTGGGAGCCCTAGCTACATACACCTCTCTAACTTTGACCTCATCACCATTTCTTCTCTTACCTTTCAGGCCCTCTAGCAGCCAGAGGTGCTGCTCTGGCTTATGCCCCCTGTTTACACCTTTGTAAATTGTTCTTCATTCAACTCCCTCCTCGAGTTATCCTAAATTGAGCATGCCTATGTACTTTCTGCTGAAATCCTAGCAGATAATAAGAAAGAAGGAGAAATTGGAGAAAGTGAATCCTACCCAGCAGAAAGGTGGGTCAAAAGATAGAGAAAGTAATACCTAAAAAAAGAAAGGCAACTGGCAAAACCCTGGGAGTGGTAAAAGCCACTTTGGAGAACAACTTGGAAAGAACTGGTAATAAAGCACACACCCTACGGCCCAGAAATACCACTGCTACCAACTCACATCAAACCCATACCCTGGAACAGATGGACAAGAATTTTCACAGCAGAACTGTGTTGCAAAATACTAGAAACAACCTAAATATCTGCCATTCATATATAAATAGTGAAATAATATACTAGACCACAAAAAGAAGGAGCTAGAATCAACTGTATCCATACAAATGACTCCCATAGATACAATTCAAACTGAGAAAGCAATTTTCAGAAGAGTGCATGTAGGTGTTACCCTGTACAGACAGTTGAAACACACATTGCTGAGGGATGCAGCTACGTATAGGAAAAGACAGAAGGAATGACCGGGTGTGACAAACACCAAATTGGAGATAATGATTACACCCAGCAAAAGAGGGAGAGGCAGAACAGGGCAGGCATCCATGGGGGATGAGGTGAGGAAGGGGCTTAGTGGTGATGTCTTCTTTCTTATACCGGATGATTAGCACCTAGGTTCTATTCTATTATTCTTTGTCTCTTCTGTGCATCTTCATATTATTATATTAGCTTGGAATCATTTTAAGGAAAGGAAAAGGAACAAAACGCTTGTGGAAGTTTCCAGAGAAAACAAAAAGTTGCAGGGTTGCAACTCCATTGCCAGATTTGACGCACTACCTCATTCTTTTCTGGCCTTTTGACACTCAAAGGCGCACAAACAATTCAAGGTTTCTGGGCTTCTCTGAATTTGAGGTTTATTTGGTGGCAGGGTGGATCCACGTGCCAAATTCCAATTTTGAAAATGTCAGAAGCTCCACTGGGAGACTTGCCAAGAAACAAATTAAGAGACAGTTCTCCCATCGGGAGAGATGAGGAAACTCAAGCATGTTCAGGTGGTGCTAATGGATCCTTTAGGAGACATAGAACGTTGCCTCAAGAGCATGCTCCTGAGTCATTACAAGAAATGTTTCAGGGGAGAAAGCAAAGAACACGCAGTTCTCTCCTAGCCTCACTAAGAGACTCACAAGCCGTCAGCCGAATGTACAGCAGACGACAGCTGAAAGGAGGTAGCAGGCCCAGCCCAAACAGGGCACTGGCGGAGGCCATGCCATGCTCCTGAATACCATTCCCTGCCACACCCAAGGGCACTTTTTCAAAATCCTCAACAATAGCAAAACCACCTCAGGAGCTTCAGCTTGTTTAGCCCTGGCAGAGGTGCTGAGACTGGAATCCCGGTCCCGTAAGTTCATCTGAACAGTTCTTCAAAGCTCAGGACAGCGGCAGCCCAAGCCTCTGGATCTTCTTGGAGACTATGGCCAAGTTGTGGAGGCAGGAAAAGGGAGATTGTTTATAACAACTTAGCGGGGCAGATGCAATATCACCAGCCTCCAACCTTTCACCACAGTGGTATCTTCACCATTTTCCCAAACTCAGTTTTTCATAAGGAGATCCCTTCTCTCTTTATCCCACTCAGTCTTGCCCTTTCTGCCAAAATTGCTCTCCTTTGGAAACAAACAGTTCTGTTTCTCCTTTGGAATGCCTCCTATCTCCTCCTTAATAACATTCTGGTCAGTTCTCGGAATGTGATTTACATTACTGACCAGAGCGCGCAAGAACAAAACAATGGCAGGGCTTCCCAGCTGAGCACCAGGGTGCAGCCGGGCAGAATCTCCAAGTGCCGGGGGTGGGAGGGAAGGGTGAGAGCTGAGAATCTGCATGCTGCCTTCTCTTTCTGCAGTCTTCTGCTTGGGAGCACTGGGCATTTCCTTGCTGCTGCTGTGGGCTGGGGGTGAAAAGAAGGTGTCAGAGGAGCCTGAAGGAAGATGTTTTGCTGTTCTGGGATTTGTTGCTAGAATTGCAGGCTTCAGAGCTGACTCACCCAACAAGGCCTGGGTGCAAGCCAAGGAACAAGGGAAAAACTCTCAGGTCACACACGCTGCCCTTGACGGTGCCAGCTCAGCCTAGGCAGGCGGGGCCCCAACCCAGGGAGTCAAGAGCTTTCTGCAATTATCAAAGCTTTTTCTCTACTGAGGCAAGAATGCATTCCCCTCCCAAGAACGGATTACAAAGCAGACTGTCCCTGTCTCTCTTCAGTGGCCACAAAGGTAAGCAAACTGTTCCTGCCTTCTCCAGAAAGCTTAAAAGCATACACAGTACAGACAGGTGTGTCTGCTCCTGACAGCAGCTTTGGTGGGCGGTGCCTTAGCCTGAGTTCATCTAATCCTCCAGGCCTGGCTGCCTGGGGGACAAGCATCCTCTGCTGCTGCTTTTATTTTTCATCCCCAACCAGCCCACTTGACCTTTTCCCTAGAAAGGTTTTCCTGGCAATTGCTACAATGGAAACAAGAGGGACAACAAAAATAACAGCCCCAAGGATATAAGCACATTATTGGCAATTTCACAGAGCTCTTACTGTCACCTTAGGCATCAACCCAAGCCACTCCATGTCCCTTGCAGGCCTCCAGGCAACTTGGAGGGCCACACAGGTTCTTCTGTGTCTTCCAGAACTTTTCACCGAGTCCTGAAGTTTTGTCCAAACTCCCCTCTCTGGCCTCTTCACATACATGCCTCAAGGGGTGGCTCTTCCAGCTCCTGAGAAATCACTCACCCCACAGCCTTGCTGTACCAGAAAGTCAGAAAGAGAAACATATCCATCTCTGGACCTCAAACCAAAGCCAGATAATTAGCCAGAAAGGTCCAAACCAAACTGTGCTTGGAAACCGGACTGCTAAGGATGAGCCTGCCTTAAAGGAACATTATATCTACCTTTCTCACTTTGCAAATAGGAAGTGAGGTTCCAAGACAGGACCTTAGATCTGAGCCAACACAAGTTTCCAGATGTTTTTAAAACGTGTCACAACCCTCTTTGTGCCCGTACGTTTGCTAAAATTCCCAGACCAACACAGAACTAGGAAGAGGCAAACATTCTCCAGCCAGGATGAAACTTAGAAAACAGGTTTCCTCTTACCATAAGCAGCTGGGAACCCTGCATGATGGACCCTTCTGGCCTCTTCTCATGCCTCAGCGCTTCACAAGTAGAACCCAAAGGCCCTTCCAAAAGCTCACAGTCTGGGCTTGTTGCTCCTTTGTTAAATGACCTGTCCCCTTTTAATAGGGCTGCTTTTTCATCCTTTAGTCTCAGGTTAATTGTCTCATTCTACCCACAGACCCTCTGATGTGGACTCTCTCTCTTACCATCAATTGGCCTCTTCCTTGTACTGAATACTCTCTCTGGACTCTCTCTTTGCTGCCCACCTGAGCTCTGCACCCCCTCTCCTGCCCCCACTCACTTGGGAGCTGCGTAGGACCAGGGCTGTACCTGTCATAATTGCTGCTCTCTCCATAGCACCAGCACTATGGCTGGCACAAAGGCAGATAGTCCATAAACACAGGGCATATGTGCCCAGATGAGATCCAGTCACAGAGGCAGGACACAAGTTTTAAATACTTCCAACTTTATTAGGAGCAGGCTGCCATCACCCTGCAGCCCGCTCCAATGTATACACAGTATACACGCCCAGCCAGGACCCAGGTCATCCCATCCTTCTGCAGTGCCTGGAATGCAAAAGAAGCAAGTACAGCACAGGGCTCTATCAGTGACAGTGTCTAGTGTCCTCAGGAGCTGACTCCCAGGCTGCGGGGAATCCAGCCCCTCACACTGTCCTTGGCTCCTCCAACCTTCTCTCCAGTATCGACAGTATTTGGGTGAGGCTCCTCCAATCAGTGCACACAACAGGTAAAGGAGGCTAGGGAAGCATGAGCCCAAGGCCTCAATGGCCTACACCCCACTAAAGAAATTGCCGGAGGCTCCACAAGGCTCCTCTTCTCCCGTAGGCATGAGATGCCACCTTCACTTCTTATGCGATCACCCGTACCCTGTGCCTCGAGTCTCATCTCCTCTCAGCTCTGGGAAGCCTGGCTGGACTGAGGAAATGTTCAAAGATAAGACAAACTTCCCAAATTGTCTTGGTCATGGTTTTGGTTTCTTGGTTTGGGGGAGGAGGGGTTCTGTTGTTGTTTTAAGAAAAGGCAAGAAGGGAGGGGCCAAAAGAGAAAGGAGCAAGGAGAATTGGATTGCATCAGGAACTAGAGTGGTTAGCCCTCCTCAAAAACACCCTCGGCTAGGGAACTGGTCATAGAATTCACTCCACACAGCCTCCACCAGACCCTCTCCTCGCCTGGGAGAAAATGCACTGATCAGAGACTGGGAAGTCTCCCCTTCTGCCTGCACCCTGGGGTCCTTTTGTCTTGAGTCTCCTTGCTCTGTCCTTCAAGAATGTCTGCAGCCCTGCTCCAGGGAGCCAAAGGCCCTCCACCCCCTGCTAGAGCTCGGTCTACATTCTCCAGCCTAGGATTAGACCAGTGTCAAAATACCATAGACCAGAGGCTGGCTGGCTGGCTCCTTGTTTTGTGGATTTTGAGTATAAAGGAAACCACAGGAAAGAACTGAAACCCTCTCCCCAGGGAAGACTTATGCTTTGATCTAATCTCATTTAAATTCTTCAGTGAGCTCCTGGACTCCGCCTGTATTGAAAAGCAGAACATCCCCTTTCTACACTAGGGCATCTGCACCTTCAAGAAATACCCTGCTTGGCCAAAGGATCTCTATCCCCATGTTATCTCCCCACTTGGAGCTATAGAAAATGCCTGGGTTTTTTCCCCCTGCCTCGTCAACTAAACAGAAAGGTCTCCAGCAGTTCCTTCTAGCAGCTTTGAAGGCCTCTGGGTCAGGTTATGACTCTTGTTGCCTCCCTAACAGATCACAGAGAACCCAAAGAGAGAGACCCCGTCTCCATCTTCATGTCTGGAGTCCTGGGGATTGCCCTGAACCACACACTCATCTCTCTGGCTGGCTAGATTGTTCTATGAAGATGACAGTTGGGCATGGTGGGAGCACCAGGACACCTCTGTCCCTAGGGACAGGGTGGGTTCCCAGAGAGCATAATCTGAGGTAGCAAACAGACAACCCAATTCCCAACTGGAGAAATGATGTGACATGCCCACTGCACACAGCAGGAGCCGTCCAGAGGAAGGAAGCCCAACCTGCAGCCAGAGAGATGCTCAGCACCCAGCCCTTCTGGGCAAGTCCGCTCCCCTCCCGGTGGGCACAAGCCTGTGGTCACTCAGAAGATTCTCTGAGGCAATACAGAGCCTGTGGCGTCAGCCTTACTTATGTGTCCCTCCCAAGAGGAAAAAGCCAGCAGGACTGGAGCTTCCTCCTCCCGGTCCCAGGGTGATAGTCTCCAGGGCCTGGCCCAGAGCTCAGGACCCACCAACCCAGCCCCACAGCCAGAAGCACCCTCAGGCTTTCCCCTCATGCTCCGTGCTTCAGCCACCTGATAAGCACCAGCATCTTTTAGTAATGGACAGCTGCCTCTAGACAAAGAGGGAAGACTCCAGGGGACTTTCTCCTCTTTCCATGAAGCCTCTGAGGACACCAGCGGCAGCCCCGCCCCTAATCTAATGCCCTGGAGGGTGGTGACAGAGAGAGGCTCACTTTGCCAGGGTGGGCCCAGGTGGAAGATGAGAAACCTCGGGACTCCCTGTCCTCATCCACATCTTCCCCAGCGGAGGAACCCAGGCTCCAGTTGTCAGCAACCTCACTCTCCCCGGCTTCCAGCCACCACCACACAGTCTTCACTGATCAACCTGTGTCAGTCAGGAAAGAAAGGGGTCTGAAAGCACCATGAAACCCTGCCTTGTTCAGAGACGGCTCAGTGCCCCTGGGGCCACTTGAGGGTGCCAAGCTGCTGGGCCATGGCTCTTCCAGCAGCATATGACCCCTCTGATAGAGGCTGAGGTCCCTGAAGTTCTCCCTGGGAGAAGCCCAACCTCTAGGTCACTTGGAAACTGGGCCTCAGCACCTTCTGTCCAGCACCCACACCTTGCAGCCTCTCCCCGAAACTGGGCCCCCGAGGAGCGGGGCATGAGGTAGACTGTGCGTTAGTTAGCATCCCATGCCCAGTCCAGGGAGGAAAGAACCACTCGTCCCAATCCATGGTCCTTGTCCTGGATGTGAGTGGCATGGTGGCACAGGCCACTTGTCGCCATTCTATGCTCCAGCTGGCCAGAGCACTGGCACAACAGTGGGGTGAAGAATGAGGGAAAGAAAGGGACAGTCCCACTCAGCAGGGCCTCAAGATGCAGAAGTCCAGCTCCTGGGGTTTGCGGCGCAGGTTGCACTGGTCCCGGGCCAGCAGCCGGTTTCCATGACCCACACACTTGAGTGGACGCCTCTTAAATCCCCGGCCACAGGTCTTGGAGCAGGGTGACCAGGTCCCAAGCTCCCAGGTCGGGCAGGGTTCACCGCAGGCTCGCATCTCCACTGGCCGATGGGCTACATCGCAGGCAGAGGCCCTGTGTTGCCCCGACGAGCCCCGACAGTCCACTGCTCGCTTCTGCAGGCCACTGCCACAGCTAGCAGAGCAAGGTCCCCAGCTGCCTGCCACCCAGCGTGCAGGAGGCCTCTCATCCGGCTGCTCCACTTGATTGGAGAGGCGGAGCACACTGTTGTGCAGCACAGAGGGCGTGCGGGGCTCCTTGGGAAGGGAGGACTTGTCCTCCCAAGGCTCTTTGGGCAGATAGAAAGAGTAACGGACCCGTGGCGGGGTCATCTTCCCCACAGAGAGGACCTCCACAGTCAGGGGCTCCTGGATGGGCCGGGAAGCCTGCAGGCTCTCCACCGCTGTGCCCGTGCCACTATACCGCAGCAGGCTGCCCTTCACCACCAGGTCCCGCTCCACGGCCGACACCACAAAGTGCCCGTTGAGCAGGTACTTGCCTTGGCTGTTCTTCACGGCCAGGTAGTTGTCATCCCCAATCAGCCCCTTGTAGCCACGCTGGCGGATGTCGATGCTAGAGGCACCAACAGGGAGGGCAACCACGAAATTGTAGCCATGCCTGAGGTAGCAAACAGGGATTGTACATTAGACAGATGCCTGGACCTAGGAACCTTACTTCCCTTTAAAGTCACAACTGATTCCCTTTTGCAAGCCCCAGGCAACAGAGTACAAAGAATAACTAGGCTGTCCTGGGCCCAGTGGAAGCACACAAAGTGAATGCTGGTACCTTAGCTTGTTGTTAAACCACCTACACCTGAATACGCTGGTTATAGAGCCTCATGATCATTTACTTTCATTAATTTATCTTTTAGTAAATGCCAGTGAGATAGTAAAGACACAAGTTTTGGAGTCCGTGAAAGATCTATGTCCCCTGCTTTGCTATTGATCTTGAGAAATCTTGATAAATCTCAATTTCTCTGAGCCTCTATTTCCTCACCTACAAAATGGAGCTCATAGTTGCATGTATCTCATTCAACTGTAAGGAAGATTAAAGAAGCTGTAGCCTATAAAGCATGTGGCCAAGTACCCAGCACACGGAGGACTCAGAATGTATCAGCCATGGTGGTGGGGGCAGGGAGGAAGGAAGTCTTCCACGCCCAAGTCCAAGCCTGCAGCTTGATGCATTGAGAACCCAGCATCCTGGAGGCCAGGGCTAGAGATCCAGCCCTGGCTCAGGCACCGACTCCCTGGTGACTTTCAGCAAATCAGTTTCTCTTGGTTTGGGCATCCTTCTCTGCACAGTGAATGGGTTAAGCCAGGTGACTTCTACAGCTCCTGACAGCCTGTCCATTGAACCAGTGGAGCAAGTGTAATGCCCACATAGCTACCCTGTCGCAAGTTCCCGACAAGGACAGCTTTGAACACCTCTGCCTGCAGCACCCACAGAGAGAGCTGTGTGTCCACCCTGTACATTGCCCTCCAAAAGAGTCAGCAGAGGGTGTCACATCAAGAGGGGACAATCTGACTCCTAAGGGGACAGTCATCCAGTCTTCCATCATCAGCTCCTAAACCCCCTCATTTTTATACTCCCTGCTCCCAACAGAGACCTCTGGTACCCCGCCTGTCTCTCCCTCAGGACTTTGAAAGGAGAGTGTTGCTGATCTCACAAAGGTCCAGCGGGGAAGAGTACACATATTCTGGGAAGCAGAGGCTTCTTCAGTCCCAGTCATTTGCTTGCTATCCCTCAACTGTTTAGTGCCATTCATGTGAAGTATATTAATATTATACTCACTTTACAAATGAAGATGTCTAAAAATCTACAGATTGAGTAACTTGCCCAAGGTTATGCAGAAAATGAGGACCTGAGATTTGAATGCAGGTCAGTCCTACTCTAAATCACTAGACAGATCCTAATAACACTGCCCTCTCCCTGACTATCACCTCCTGATAAGGTGTGTTCTCAACTGTCTATCCTTGCAGGATGGACCCATGGATGAATGGATGAATGGGTGGATGATTGGATCAGCTGGATGGGTGGGTGGGCTGGTGGGTGAGTGGGTGAATATCAGCCTGAGAAGAGTATAAACAGCCTCCACAAAAAGTATATGCCAGGATCCGACATTCACCCCAATCTAATACAAGCTTCCAATGCCTAGAGGGAATTCTAGCCACTTGCCTCCCATCTTGCTCCCACCTGCTGTACCCTCCCACTCCCAGACTCACATGGGCTTGGTAAAGAGTCCCGTCACCCTCTTGCAGCTCTTATTATCTCCACCACACACCCCACACTTGTCAAACTTCTTCTTGGAGCCCAAGTTGCCATCGCAGCCAGCCTTGATGCACTTTCCTTGGACACAGACTGAGGTGGAATCAGGAGAACACAGTGTACCATCCACCACCTGCAGCACCCCAGGGAGGGAGAGGAGGAAGAGGAGAACGGCTCAGCTGACGCTCCCTGAAGACATGGTCCCTGCTCTGATCTCTGACCCCAGCTCTCTTACCTTGGGTGCCAGCACATAGAAGTAACCAGTGCCATTGGCCCGACAGATGAGCTTGCACTTGTCCCGGGGAGACACACCTGAGTACTTGGGTACCCACGCCACAGCGAGAGTGAGCCTGTTGGTGCTGTGGTTGTAGCCATTGAAAGCTTCACACTGCTCTTCCCGGAAGCTCTTGCCTGAGACTGGGAAGGGAGGAAGAACAGGCAGGAAACTAAAGGGAAGTACAAAAGAAAGCATCCCCCCAGAGGTGCCCAGCACCTGAGATCTAAACAGCTCTTCCCCTCAGCAGTGTGATGCCACAGCCTCCCCCCTCAAAAGGACGGAAGAGGCTGAAACCAAAAATGTAGCTCATAGATAATAATGCAGCCCCTGAGCAATGCGCCACCTTCTCCCTCTTCACAGATGTGCTAGACATGTTTTGGATAATGAAATCCAAAACATGCAATCAACTAAAACTTTTTTCACCATTGTGTTATTAATGCATCAAGTAAACTACATAGATTTACCAAAAATGCCAATTATTTTGTTCTGCAAAGGTCAGTATATTTTGAAATATACTTGTGATATATGTGGTTCTGTTAATGTATTAAATGATAAGATTCAATAATAAGTTTAGTAACAACTGTAATTCTGAAGTAGATGATCATAGGTGGCATTCTGGGGATTCTTCAGCTGAAATATCCTATGAATATTTCATAGGCTATCCTATCCTATGAAAAGATCCATGATTTCTGTTGGTGACAAAGTGACAAGTGTTTCTACTAAGGTTGTAGCTTGCTGCTTAAATGAAGAAAATATTAAATTTTAAATGGAGGGCCAGGGATGTAGCCCAGTGGCACAAGTGCCTGCCTGGCAAGCACAAGGTCCTGAGTGCAATCCCCAGCACAAAAAAAATTTTTTTAAATGGAAAGGATAGTTTTTTTAAAAGCCAAATTTCTAATTGAAGGAAAAACTGTTTTATATACAGAAACACTAACAAAATAGAGATGCAGTCTTTTCCCCATCAAGTTCATGGGTCCTGTATTCCTGCTTAGAAGATGGGTTTGTCAGAGATCCTAGTGTCTCATCCCCTTGAACTACTTGGCCTGCTAGCCTAAGTACCTGGAAGAAAACATCCTTGCTTACAGGGGAGTAGACCAAAGGATAACCTCCTGAAGAATCTGCACCCTGCACTTCCGGCTCTGTCTTGGAGGGTGGAATCTTGACTGCAATCCTTCTGTGGCCCTGGCTTATGTGGAAGGTCTTTAGGGTCACCTCCCCAAAGCCCAGGCCTTGTGACCCTCCCGCCTCACCTGAGGTGGGGCAGGGCTCCAGGTTGCAAGACCGGTACTTCACCCTCACCCCCTCACAGTACTTGCCACCGTTGGCGGGGGTGGGGCTGCTGCACTGCCTCCGGGCCAGCTGGACGCCCCCGCCACAGGTGCGGGAGCAGGGACCATAGGGCTCCCACTTGGCCCAGGAGCCATCCACCTGCAAAGAAGAGCTTGTTATATTACTGCAGGGCTCCAGGTGCCACTGCCAGCCCCTTAGTCTATAGAAAAGCTTACTGGTATAGCCTCCAAGTTCCCATCCTGCCCCAGTGGAATAACATTTACTTTATGTCATGAGAAAAAAATGATAAGCCAATGATCTATATGCACAGGGCCCACACAACACCTCAAGCAACTAATTAGCGAACATCAACTGCTCTCAGTAAAAATGAAATCACTCAGAAGAGAGAACCCTCCGTGGGCTACAGAGTGAGGCAGACCAGTTTTACAGTCACAAGGATGGGTCTGAGTTGGTGGCCAAACTTTCCTGGGTTTCATACGCTTCACCTGCAAAAATGAGACTGGTACTACTCAGGTCTGAGTTTGGTAGAAGTTTTAAATAAACTGCTATATATGAAAACTCCTAGCACCAGGCCTGTCTCTATGCAGGAGCTCAAAGAGTCCCCTTTCCTACTTATTGTTAGTGCATCTACAAAAGTCTAACCTTCCATGGGTCCAGCCAACACCCTTGCCAGGAAACAATGTTGCCATCTGTAAGTGTTCTGTGATTCAGACTTTTTTCCAAATTAAACTGACCTTTACCTTATTCAGGTGCTGCATTTGAGAAAGTTTCACTATAAGCAGTGCTAAGTTTGTAATAAGACACACAGGTGAAAGACTATTGAGCAATCCTAAAACTCTATTTGGCTTTGGAGTAAATTATGCAGAAGGATGTTTGTTTGTTGGTTGGTTGATTGGCTGGTTGTTTTGAAAGGGTAGGAAGGGAATAGAAAATTTATAGTCTGTCATTGTCTGTTTGTCTGTCTCTCTCTCTCTCTCTCTCTCTCTCTCTCTCTGAGACAGGGTCTCATTATGTAGTGCAGGCTAGCCTTGAACTCACTATGCAGCCCAGGCTGCCTCAGACTCACAGCGATCCTCCTGGTGCAGCCTCCCAAGTGCTGGCATTACAGACCTGTACCACCACACCCAGCTTGCATTGTTTCTTTTACAATGGTAGCAAAATGGGTTTCATGCTCTGAACACACATCAGTTGGGCAACAGAGGAAGAAACCCTGTTGTACAACTCTAGAACTCAAACTATCATAGATCATCCATTCAGTCATTCACCCACATGGACCTAATTGGGAGCTGACTGTATGAAATAGGAATACTTTGACTGTGTACATATCCAGCATAGTCAGCCGGACAGCTGTTTCCTGTGAACCCATCACAAGCTGAAGCTGCTCTCTCAAAGTCAGCAAGGACCAGCTGAAGAATGAAGGAGTCTATGCTGAGGTCTTATGATCCCCATTTTTCCTTCTGTGCCTAACACAGTCGCTGCAGCACAGTCACTGCACAATGTTGTTTGTTTTCTTCCCACCCATCTGTACAGAAATATTCACTGTGCTCCTTCATTCACTCACCAAATGTTTACTGAGTTCCTACTACATGCTTCACACCATGTACAGCAAGCTCCCACCCCCAACAGCCCAGGTGGGAAGAGAAACAGTAAAAGTAATCCAGTGTGTGTAGCACACTGGACAGGGTTAAAAGCAAGTGAGTGTGAGGGCAATTGAGGTGGTGGGCAATTGTGGTGGATCTCAGTGAGGTGGTTCTACATCAGCAGGCATCAGGTAGGCTTTATTATACACTCAAAGGAAGTACAGATGTGAACCAGGCAGACATTGGAGAAAGAGCATTCCAGAGGCAGCAATGCACAGGCCCTGAGGGACACACCTGGAATGCACCAGCATCACAGGAGCAGAGCAAGCAAGAGGAGAGAAACAGATAAAGGCAGAGGCTCGTAGGCTGGTTCCAAGCCAGATGTAGAACACCTGATGGGTTCCCAGCAAGAAACAGCATAGCCTAATTCAAAACTTAGAAGGATCCTCTGGTTGCCATATTGGGGATTGGCTTTGAGGAGTAAAGACCAAAGGCAGGAAGGCCAGTTGCGAGCAAATGCCATAATCTGGAGGAAGGGATGGTGGCTGGGGGACAAGCAGAAGAAGCAGTGAGGAATGGGGCTCTGGGTCTTAGACAGGGTAAATGGGAAATTGAGCTACAGGGTGTGAGGTAACCGGAGGAAAAGGAATGTAGCAGGAGCAGCTGGAAGGAGGAGTTGCCAGAACTGCCTTCAGGCATGTGACCAGGAGCTCAGTCTTACACCTGCTGTGTTTAAGACGCCTACCGGGGGTCTGCACAGCTCTGCCAAGATTCAACCAGACAAACACGCCTGTAGTTCAAGAGAGAGGCACAGGCTGGAGACACAAATTTGAGGGTTTTCACCATGTAGATGGTATTAAAAGCTTCATTCTAGATGAATCACCTGAAAGGCTGAGTGTGGACTGTGAGGAGGGGAAGGACTGGGCCCTGGAGTGCACCAACCTGTTGAAAATGAGAGTAGGGGAGGGAAAAAGCAAAGGAGTTTGAGGGGCAGCCAGGAAGGGAGGAGGAGAACACACAAGACCATGGGGACTGTCCTGAGCCATGAGGCTGTGCTCTCAAGGGACAGAGGGATGGGCTGCGGCAGCTCAGGCCAACAGAAAAATGGGAACCAACTACCAAACGGCCTGCATAGGAGCTCTTAGGAGGAAGGGTGAGAGTGAAGTCCTGATTTGAATGAGCTCCAGAGAAAAACCCGAAGAAAGCAGAGAGCATGCTTACACAACTCTTTCAAGGAACTGTGCTATAAAGTGAGTCAGAGAAACAGACAGCATATTTGGAAAGGCCGTAGGACCCCACAAGATGTTTCATTTAAGGCTAAAGAAATCATGACAGGTTTGTATCCTAATAGGAATTATTTAACTCCAGAGAGAAGAAAACTGATACTGCAGAAGAGAAAGGAGGCTTCATAAATTAGCTCCATGGGAGTGAGATGTTATACAAGAATGAGGCTGATCCCTCCTCACTCCAGCTTTCTGTCCAATCACATGATCTCTCCCCCTTGAATGTACTGTTACCATGGTGCCACCTGCCATGAGGTGACACAGCCAGGGAGGCCCTCATTAGAACCTGTATCATATTTGGATTTTCAGCTGCCAAAACTGTGAGCAAAATAAACCTCTTTTTGTTATATGTACCCAACCTGCAGAAGTTTGCTATAGCAATGGAAAATGGACTAAGACACCAGTGACAGTGAAAATGAGAACAAGGAGTTGATAACAAGAGAAAAGAGAGGAAAGTGTGAGTTCCCAGGTTCGGGAGGCTGGGAGACTCTTGGCCAGCATCATGGGCCCACCTGAGTGTCCAGGTTGTGAAGCTGAGGCCAGAGAGCATGACTGGGTAATTTTTTCCAGCCACACTCACTCATGCAGGGATACCTGAGGGGTGACTTGGCTGGACTCAACCAAGGGATGGCTAATCCAGATGATATGACAGAGAAAGACAGGGTGAGGCGTCCAGAGTGTATGTGACAAGTGACTCTTGGCTCTATTAGGAGGAAGAGAGGGCATGAGATGGGAAGATGGAAAGTCAACTATATCGATGGACCACAGGCCCAGAAGGCACTGAAGAACTGTTCAAATCCAAAACCCAAGGGTGTGAGCTGGGAAGATGGGATGTTCATGGTCAGAGTGAGTGCTGAATGTGAGATCCCTGGGGCTTCTGCGATGTTTAAGACAAGCCTTGTGGGGGCTGGGGATTTAGCTCAGCGGCAAAAGCGCCTGCCTGGCAAGCGCGAGGTCGTGAGTTCAGTTCCTGGTACCGGAGAAAAAACCAAAAACAAAA